TCACTTTTTCGAAAAACGTAATGCTCCGAAAGTTTCAAGGAAATCTCTATATACATTTTAAATTGAACACAAATGGGAGATGCAATCTTAAAATTTCTCAATAGTTTTTCAGAAAATAGAGAAAAACTAAAATACAAATTTAATCAACCTCTGTTTTTGATTGTTTACAAAAGATAACCTTTAAGATATTATATACTGCATCACAAAAATACTAATGGCGACATGAGATTTTCATTGATATTTTATCTGAGTGTTATAATATTAGTGCCTGGTATATATTTTCAAAAGAGTTTTAGTTAAGTACTAATATATAATGTTAAAAAGTAACGAGTTTTCCCTTCATATGTGTACATCCTGGTATTGTTTTTTAATTCATGTTTTAAGAAGATATCGTGTATAGGTAAGTTGAACAATCTCTCATTGATATAATGTTTAGAACCAGATATTATTACACCAAGAAACGCTTCCTCAATAGTTTTTTTTTGACAGACTGGCATCAGACATTTTTAATAATATCATTTATTATTTACATATTGTACGTATTTAAATATATTAGAAGGACAATGTTAATAAAATTCTTCATTTGTTAAATTCAAATTAAGATCACGTTTTAATTTATTATAATTAGTTATTAGTTATTACGTTATTACATGAATAAAAATTAGATATATTAATGGATTTCGTATTGTTAGTTTCTAAAAATATGTAAATTAATATTTTTATAAGACGGCGCTTTGTATATGCAAATTTAATACACAACAAAACTTGTTATTTATAATAATATTAGAAAGTAATGCATCTATTCAACTAGTTGGCTCTCTCACTCTTTCACCAATGATATTTTAGTAATTTATAATATTTTACATAATTATTATTATTGTAAAACACAATACAATTATTAAAAACGTTATCGCTAAATTCAAGTGTTAAATATTTGTGATTGCTTAACATCGTGAAGTAAAACTTAATAATAATAAATAACTAACATTATACAAACGATTCCTTTACCAAATATGGTATGGGTAATTCTATAAAAAAAAAAAAATAACGAATACTTATACATACAATTATATTTGTCATGAATGCTTCGGGTATGGAGGCTATTAGCTAATCATTGCTTAAAATCTCTGTACAATGTTCTATTCTTTAATTTTACTTTACTGACATTGTGTAAAACAATACATAACTCCATAAAGACATTGTAAAATGCATTTGATGCATATTGTAGTGCATTACGTTATCACGATGATATAATATTTATTCTGTGTAAATATATTTCACGATGGCGAGTATCACGGGAAACATTTTAAAATATAATAATAATAATAATAATAGTTTTTTTTAAAAATATGGTATTACGTTATTTCGATGTGCACACATATGTTTGGGTATAGTATGTTAAAAATATTATACACACATTTGTAGGTACACATATTTTTTGTATCCGTTTTATTATTTTGTAATCGTAAGTCTATTTGTGAATCTTGTCATTTTTGACATTTTGACAAATACTCCTAATCACTCTAATCCAACACATGTCTTTTAATTTTTAGAATTTAGTTAAACGGGCCCGAAGACGACCGTGGGCCAAAATTCTATTGTTTTATCATTTTTAATGATTATATTATATCAACATATTTTTATAGTTGACGTGATGCTGCGAGCGGATCGTTGAAACGACAAAAACAAAATAAATTTACTGGACAGGACACTATATAATATGCAGTTGGTTCCTGGTGTGGGCACTACATATCTCATAATATCATATTATTAATAACGCATTTATTAATCGTACCAATTTTCTATACTCTGTGTCTGATAGTGGTGTATTATATTGTTGTTATAGATTCGAAAGCAATGATAAATCGTTGCAATCGAAAAACGATTCGGAGCGAAGCTCAGTTAAAACAATAATCGCTCGCGCCCACATTTCTTTTAAAATTTTCACAATCGTGTAGGGTTAAGTTTCGCATGAAGAAATCGAAAAACTGCCACACTTGAGAGTTCAAAGGTACGGTGTGTTAAACGTTTCCGATAAACGTATATTATATTATATTTGTAGTGCAGTCGCTTTACGGTTCTAACTTATCGTTGGTCATCGGGTGTTGTCTGGCTGAATAGTGTATTATTATGGTAATCGAAGGTGCAGGAGAAATATGAGAAACCTTCACCGTAAGACCAAAAGTCAATAATGCAATCGTGGCGCTTTAGAATCTAATAAAATCTAAAGACGGATTCGTTTCGCATCTAAAGACCTGTTTAATGTAGTGGTACGATAGTATTATATCGTGTGAGGTTTGATATAGGGCGCATGTGTACGGTTGAGACGTATGGGTCCTATGACCAATGCGTTAGCCTAGTAGTGTACCAAAAAATTATTTTTGGTCTTACGAAATTGTAATGAATTAATTTCGTGGTATAAAATCTCTTTACCTATATTACAACGTTCAATTGTCGGCCCTTTCACTCTTTTAAACTCTAAGAACATTTTTAAATGAAATATTACAATGAAAAAGTGACACATGTACCGAATTTAAACTAAACGCATTCACCCGTATTATAATGAATAATAAGGGATAGCACAGTCACAAAACATTAACTCGACACGTAAGGCCAGTGTACGACTGTGTAGTAACACTTTTGAGTAAAAATGTCATGGCAATAATAGTATCATAATGTATAATCGGATTGGAGGCGTCACCGGGTTATTCAGAAGAATACGACCGAACCTACTTACCATGTTCAGTATTTCTGCGGCGTAACTAGGACTGTAAGGGTGTAAAATCTCTTGGGACCGCTACAATTTAACGATAAACAAAAGATAACCCAACATTTAATTATAATGTAAAGTCAATTAATTTGACATTTTGTGCAAAACTTAAGTATCAAAACGTGTCGTGGAACATAATAAACATATTTATACAATCGTATGATTCAAAATAATGATTGAGTCTTTTGACATGAATTATTATGAGAATAACAAAAAAAAAAAAATTAAATCAACATTAAATATTTAAATAATTTGTCGTTTGATTTAAATTTTGTGTTTGGGGACTCGGCCACCCTATCTATACTCTACTGGTATATATAGATTATTGTATCTATAATACTGAACGGAGGGTGCGTGCGTCCGAATATTATATTGCGTCGGTCTGGATGCGGTGGTGGGCGAAAGCAAAACGATACCGCCGCTCGAACCCACACTCCTCCGGAATTTCGCCGACCCTTCTTTTTTTTTTTGGTTTTTTTTTGCATATTCTACGTTTTTGTTTTTTTTTCCACTTTCCGTTGTGGCTCGCGATAATTAATTTCGCTCACGTTCGGTTGTATAATATTATTATAACCGGCCGATGGCGATTACGCGCGCGCTTCCGTTCGTGAGTCGCTCCCGCGGTCGTGGTACATAATATTGTTGTTGTTATTATTATTATTATTATTATTATTACTATGATTATTCAGACACACGTGCGCCTCGCGGGGATGTATCGTATTATATAAGCGTACAACAGTATAATAATAATAATATGCATTATGCACGTATATATAGAGGAGTTTGGGTCTGTTTCGGGGACGGGAGAAGAAAAAAATATGACAAAAAACAATTTGTGCAGTAGGTACAACCCATGCAGTATGAAATATATATAATACATATACATACACACCTATATACATATATACACGTTCGTATATATATATACGTATATACATAACATGCGTGTGTAGCACGCGCGTCACAAATTGAAATCACCGCCGCCACGCCATCGCAACTCGTAAAAACTTTTGATCGTATCCGCAGGTGGCGGTGGCGGGCGTAAACACGAACAGAAACCCACCGAAACGTACGTCGTCGGAAATTTCTTTCGGCTTTTTCACGTTTTTATCTCACCGTACGCAGAAAAGTATGGTTTTCATACCCTCGCGTCCGCCCGCTCGAATCTCTGCCGCGCAAGGTGTGTTCCGTACGATCGCGTTAAACGGGTTATAGGTCTCACCAAATAATAATTAGGGATGTGCATTTGTAGAGAATTACATAGTTTTCTAAAACTAAAACCAGGGGACTTTGAATTTGTCACCAATGAATTCAATTTATTTTTGATTTCGTGACATTTTGATAATTTACGTTTTTTATTACTTTTTTCGAGATTTCTAATCATTTCCATGAATCAAAACTTTCTACTCAAATTATATGAACGACTTTTTAATTTTTGCCTTATAAAAATATCTTATACGCTCTGTACGACCATGGTGCTCAATTATATATTAATAATATCTCTAATTTAAAATATTTTCCACTGGATAGGTTTGTATGTTTTTCAAATTACGATTCCAAAGTGTAACCTATAATGCATTATCTAATGCATATTATACTGACATTTTATTGAGGTTTTAACAAATTTATAATTTTTTAATGCTTCAACCCCACAACTCTAATTATAATCATTCTGCTACAATTCTATAGTATAAGGTGGACGTCCGGAACAACTATCTGACTATTTATGTGCACCGCATAGCCGGAAACGATGTTTGCAATAATGATAGTAACAATACAAAAAAAAAAAACGATTTATTCTCAATACACATATTATTATAAATCACGTTTACAAAAAAAAAAATATAAATAAAAACTGAAAACAATAATATGTAAGTATGTATATAACATAATATAATTTTATTGTAAACAGGTATAGGTGTATAGGTTATATGAGTTAAACCTAGTAGTTTATCCGTAAACAATACATAACACAATAATATTTTAATCAACAAACAAAAAGTACAAATTTCACGATTCAGTTTTAATCGCTTTTCGGTAATTATAATATAAACATAATAATGGTATACAATAATGTCGCTTGGCCTTGTTACACATAATTATAATTAATAATTATTATTAACAATACGATATAATCATCGTCGTAATATTATTATACACGACGGAGGTATAAACGCGGTTTCTAGGCATCTATAATAATATTGTTTTACTCGTTTGTAAGCTAATTTTCTCAAAATATACACACAAGGCGTCTCATTCGCGATTGTAAGACTAAATGAAAACCAAACAAAACAATAAAACGTCGCACGGTAGGTGAAATGTTGTCGGCTTACGTGAATCGGGCAATGATGCAATTAAGTCGTTAAACGGTTTTTGGGATAACAAACTGCGTGCTATAATACTATACTAATGAGTATATTATGTGCAACAATGGGGTTAATTTCTGAGAATTTTGTGTTTTTAATTTTGCATTTTCTGTAAACTCGATTGTTACGACTTATCCCATTGACACTTGAAATGGGTTTCGTACACGACAAGAAAAAGTCACAAACACGTATTTTTATAATTAAAAAAAAAAAAAAATTAAAAATATTCTGCAAACGAAACACAGCGATTTAAAGAGTAAACCGCGCTCGGTTTTATACGTGCAATTTGATACGAAAATAATGATGAAACAGAGAAATAAATATCGTTTTGAGATGGTTATTGAGCGCTTTTTCTCTTACAAAATCAATTGGTAAAAATAAAAATTGAATACGAAGCTCGTAGGACTTATACATTTCTTTAATCCGATTTAACGACGAGAACCGACAACGTTGAATGTTTATTGCAGTGGTTAACCAGTATAGGTGATTCGCGATGGACGTTGGTATACAATATTTTATAATATTATATTATCTATGTTTTAAAAAAAATATGATTTGCAAAAAACCACGAGTTTTGAGCACACGACAACAAAATAGGTTAGATTTTAAAGGAAAATATTATTGTTTATTTTGATTTCTTGTTGTTTCGTCGTCAATAGTTTTTGCCTTTACCGAATTTTCGATTTTTCGACAATCAAAATTAATCGAATACTCAAAATTTTTTTAAAAAAATGGTGAAACTTTTATTAGTTTATTAATTTAATTGTAATACATTGTTAAACATGGTGGCAGATATTGGTTTTCCAGCAAATATCAGGAAATCAAGTTGATTTTACTGAAATTAAATTTGAGTTTAAGCTTATCAATCGACGGTCTATCAACCGTACACATTCGGACGCCAGGCGAAATTTATTCGGCAACTGATAGATGGAAATAACTAACCGATGATCGATGTGATCTAACCGCACGACGCTAAGCATTGATTATGCCGGGCATATATTTTTGGCGTAAATCAACCAACGGATTAGCGATCGCAATCATATATTAGAGTTTGAGCACGTGGCCCTCGGAAAGGTTGGTGGGTGAATGGATAGCTAGGAGGCCATGGGATGTAAAAGTTTCTTATCTCTGTTTGTATAATAGTAATAATATGTGTGCTATATCGCCTCCACTCCCGCTGCTCTTGAAAACGGTTTTAATTAATAAACAGTCGACTGCCGTATAATAGATTTATCGCAAACACAAACATTTTCAAACGCGAGTTTCTATTGCGAAATCGAAAATGGTTTATAACAATATATTCAGTACACACACGGGAGTACGAATACGATTTCGATACCTACCAACAACATCAGTGAATTTAGTGCAAAACCGTATGTAGAGAAAATAAAAACAATAGTTTTTACGTAAAAAGAAAACCAAATCGATTGAACCTTCACTTTTAACGGCAGCTCGTTAGCGGTAGGTATTAAACGTGTATATCACATATCAAAATGTATCTATCAATAAATTGCGTATATACACTTGTATTTAAAATTTCGCATACCATTAATCATTACTAATTTGAAACTTAGGTAACTATTAATGCGATCTATTAGTATTTTGCAATACTGGAGGCTGTGGATGGATTATAAAACAATTACCTTCTCTACAAAAACATAATTGTTGTAAAAAATATTATGTAGTAATTTTTAAACCCGTTTGAAAAAAAAAAATTATATTTACAAACACGTCTTGACAGTTTAACATTGTAATTAATTTATTTTTGTTAATTTTATTAAGGTACATCATGTTATAGGTATGTTCTTGTTAACAATTAACTATAGGATCAAACATGATATTACGGCATCACTTAACAATAATAATAATAATAAATAGTATAATCAACAATAAAAAAAAAGTTGTTTAATGTACACTAGTAATCGGGCCGATTTGACTCAGAGCTGGACCAGCGACAATTGGGTCGGTGGTATGCAAAGAAAAATGCCTGTATGACAGATACTCGGGTGGAAGTGGCTGTTCCCTTTTCGTGTCTTCTCTTTGTTTTTGTATTTTCAGATATCCAAGCACGGACACCAACACGATGAACACGACACAGCCCAAACAGCTACCGATGATCAGACCTAACCGCCTCGTGAGTATTGAGCTTTTGTGATGTTCGTCAGAGTAAAATGCTATGTCGCCTTCCAGCGTCTTCACTTCGGTGCAGCGGCTACTCTGAGAACCGTCCTGTAGGTGATGTGAACTGTTCAGCGGTATCCAATTTCCAAGACCCAACACACATACCAAGTACCGGGTCTCTGGTTTCAGGTTGTCCAGGAGGGTAGTCTGAGTATTTTTATCAAGAAATTTGTTTATAATCTGTCGAAAAAAAAATAATAACAATACTTTCGTTGTAAGATCGTACATATCAATCGCCTTTATAATCATTGGCGAAAGTAAGCGATTTCGGACTTACGTTTGGTGTTACAGCAACTGATGAAATGGCCGCTGCTGGGTAATCCGGATCTTCGATCGGATAATAGGCTACTCTGTAACCATGTAGGCCTGTGTGGTTTCGCCCTTTCCATGATACAAAGATCGAGTACGGTTGAATGTCTTGAATGGCAAGCTTTAGTACGACGGGCATGGCACAAAAAGCAGGAGGCTCAAGTTCCATGAACTTCCGTCCTCTAAGTTCCAAAGGATATTGACAGATTAAGCCTTTCGCGCTTTGGTCAGACATCAATTTTTGGTGGTCTCTTATCCATTCCCATAGCTCTTGTTGATCACAGTCACAGTTTATTGGATTTTCTGAAAAATAAAATTTCAATGGATCAATAGTTTGATAGTACATCTGTACAAATATGAAAATATGTTATGCGATCTATTTTTATTTACCTTCTGTACGCAAACTTTTTATTTGTGTTTCCAACGGCCTAAGAGCGTTTATTGGCAAGTTTTTGAAATTATTTTTACCTAAATCTAATGTCTTGAGTTTTTTTAGAGATCGAAAAGCGTCTGGAGATACAAATGATAGCGAATTCCCGTATATATATAGTTCAGCTAAGCTTTCCAAGTTTCTGAATAAGCCTTTGCTGATTTTTTCTAGTTGGTTGTATGAAATATCAAGTACTTGCAACGATATCAAGTCTGAAGAAAGGTCTTCGATTTCTTTAATTAAATTCCGTGACAAATTCAACAATCGCAAACGTGTTAGTCCTTGTAGTCTTTCTTGGGGTAGAAATTCCATGCGATTGTTACTCAAGTCGAGCGTGTACAGTTCTTCGAGAACGCTGAACGTGCCGGGTGATATTTTTGATATTTTATTATCAGACATGTATAGGCGGTGAAGATTGGTGAACGACACAAAGTCGTTACTCGCCAGCACTGATAAATTAGTTCCACAGACGTGGAGTTCTTCTAAGTCGATATGCTCGATTGTCATGGATTTTGTTGTTTCGCGTATTTGGCCTAGCGGGTTGTGAGTGAGATTCAAGAACTGGAGATTCTTAAGCAACTGAGGCACTTTTCTGAAATGATTATTGGACATATCGAGACGTTCTAGTGACTGAAAAAAATTTAGTGGCAATGACGAAAGTATGTTGTTTGACAAGTTCAAATCGGTCAAAAGCGTAAAATACGAAGATGGAAATCCAGCGAGTATTTGAACTCGGTTTTCAGAGATTGACAGGCTTTGTAGGTTTTTCATATTAGTCAGTTTTGTCATATCTAATTGGGTTAACATATTTCTGGCCACGGACAGTTTTTGCAAGTTCTCACAGTTTGCCAATGTAGCGTACGGCATGGTATCGAAATCGTTCCCGTCCAAATTGAGCATGTTTAAACTGGTTTGTCTTTTGAACAAATCTGCAGGTAGTGCTGTTAGTTTGTTGTTCGACAAAGACATCATAGAGACTTCGAGGTTGAATTTAAACGTCGTATCTAAAATTTGACCTATGTTGCAATGATCTAAATACACGCGCTTTACGTTTGGTAGGTATTTTAAGACAGTTGAATTAAGGCCATCTAAATTATTGTTAGATACATCTAATATAGTCAACGTGGGCACGTCCACTTGGAGTAACGCATCGGCAAATAAGTAGTTGTGTGTCAGGTAAAGTTCGTTAAGAACGTTTAAATTGGAAAATGTTCCGTTTTCAATAGTTCTTAAAGAGCAATTGTTAAGATATAAATTTTGAATGGGTAAATCTTTTTGAAACATATACTTATGCAATTTTGTGAGTGGGTTGTTTGATAAGTTAAGACTCGTCAATTTCTTTAGCGCCGCGAATGAATTAGCGTCTATTTGTGATATATAATTATCCGTGAGATGTAGTTCATTCAGACCCCTGAGTTCAGCGAACGTTTTTGAAGTTATTTCTTTCAAATGATTAAAACTAAGATCTAGAAACACCAATGCTTGCATTGACTCGAATGAGCCCAGTTCGATGTGTTCAATAGAATTATTATTCAAGTAAATCCTTTGTACTTGATATAGGTCTGCAAACATGGATTTATCCAGTTTTTTTAGTTTGTTGTGGCTGAGCCACATAACTTTCAGATTGGATTGACCTTGGAGTGACTTGTTGTTTAAACTGGCCAACACGTTGGAATCGATTTGTATGGACACTAATGATGGTGCATCGTGTAGGAATACGTCTCCTAAATGAGTGAGGACGTTGTTTTGGAGATTTATATGTTGTAGACTTTTGAGCGTTTTGAATGCACCAGATTCAACTTCCGTTATTGCGTTGTTTTGCAAATGTAGTTCCAACAATTCAGGTAACGTCTCGAACTGAGTTCGCAATATTTTCGATAGTTTGTTATTTTGCAATCTGAGTTCTTTTAGTCGACTATTATTCCGGAAAGCACCGTTTTCTATGTTGGAAATGTGGTTGTTGTCCAAGCTCAATGATGTGAGTTTGTTACAATACAAAAATACATTAGCATCAATGGTTTCTATATAATTGTCACTCAAATAAAGTTGCATTAGATCGGGTGAACTTGAAAAAGCTCCAGATTCGATTATTCTGATAGCGTTTTGCTGAATGTATATAACCGATAACTTTGGAGAGTTGGAAAACGAGTCACCTGAAAGCTCCAGTATATTGTTTTCGGAAAGAAATAGTTCTCTAAGCTCGGGAAGATTAGCAAACAACCCGCTAATGTAATGAATATGATTATGGCTTAAGTCTATTGTCCGTAAGTGAACGTTGTACTTGAACGTGCCACTATCCATGAACACTATTTTGTTACGACTAATATCAATAGTTTCAAGTTCAATTAGCGTGCTAAAACCTCGTTTGTGTATGCTTTCAACGGAATTGTAGTAAAGAGACAACATCTTGAGCTTAGGAAATAAACGGAATGCATCTTCAGGAACTGATTCAAAATTGTTAGAGCTCAGGTCTAGCTGCACCAGACTTTTCATGAATGAATAACGGTCGTCGTGAATCGACGCTATTTCGTTCCATGCTATTCTCAATGACATGAGACGCTCTAACCGTCTGACCGCGGACGTAGGAAACGTTTTTATCTTGTTATCAGACAGATCCAGCTCAGTGAGACTGGTTTCTAGGCCGGCAAATGAGTACTCTGATATTTTAAGTATTGAGTTACCCTTGAGGTTTATTTTTATTAATTGTAAGCCAGAAAATGCATAACTACCCAGTTCGGCTATCTCATTGGATTCGATATCAATTGTCTTCAACAGCTTCAAAGGGGTAAAAGCTTTTTGAGGTATTTGCCGTAGTTTACCGGATAGCATTGCAAAAGACTCTAAACTTTTAATGTTGTTCAACCCATCTTCGGCAATTACAGACAGATTAGAGTGGGATATTTGGAGCTGTCGGAGTTTTGTATCCGGAGGAAATAGGTCTGTCGACAAGGAAGATACGGTAGATTCCAGGTCGTAGATGCTCAGTGACTGAATCAAGCCTCCAGCTACCGAGGATAGTGCGTTGTGCACACCCGTTCCAGTGGCTCCCGGACATTCGAGAAAAATGCCGTCCTCAAAGTCGTAACAGGAACACGATTGGCCAGATAGCTCACTTGGACACGTGGTGATTACAATTGGTCTTGGTGATTGACCACCAACGGAGTGAGCATGAAACCAGAGGAATATGCATATCCACAGTAACGGCCACCAGTCATTGGATCTCATCTCATCGCCATGTCAACAGGGACGGCCTTATTGCAGCTTGTGCGTAATCGTCCTGAAACAAAAAGGAAATATCGAATAATTAGTTAAATTTTTTACGACCTAACCATTTTTTTTTATAAAAATTGCATGTTAAAAGAAACTCCATAAATTTCAGTTCAATGCGTTTCGTGATTGTGTATATGATTTACAATTTTACTGTTATCTATATAATGTTTTTGTTGTGTTCCGTTATAAAAGTAGTTGTATTTCTCTCGGAAGAATGATTTATCATTCATTCGTTTATACTTTGAAAACGTTATAAAAACCGTTTTACGGTAATATGCTTACATACATACTTATATTTTAAATTACCGATATTGATAGTCATCGAAAAATATACGATTCAAGAAAACCTCAATAAGTGATCATAATATTATAAATTATTCTTTAAAATTCAGATAACATGTTTACGTGTTTATAATATTCTTAATTAAAAATGTTATTCATGGTATGATAGCAATGCAACACGGTATATTTTAATATACTATTTAAATTAGTGTTGCTGTGAACTAAACTGTTATGTGCCGTGGATAATAATCAGCATTCGTGTATCTTTGAATCGAAAACCGATGAACTTTAATTGATTCTGTATAGTAAAATTTGTAGTTTGTTTTTTGTTATGTTCATTTTTCTTATTTATATTTATATATAATTTGTCTACACCTACGCTATACACACAAATATTTACTAACTGTCAAGTTATGAATTCATATTCATATATTATTATATTATATTATTCATGAAATTCTGAACTTTATATTAATGTACTTATTTAATATTTAAGTAAGAGATAAGAATGTAATTAAATCATTGGATGTTATTGTAATATGCAACGCTACCATTTGAACAATATTTATCGGTAGTATCAAATTGAATTGAATAATATTTTCATTCACAAATTAAAAAGAATGCAGGAGTGCAGTTAACTTTTTTAAATACTTAATAATATACTTATATACATTTTAGTCTTAATTTTTTTCAATAGTTTTGACTGACTTATAATAAATAAAATATTTTTTATTTATAATTTAAGAACATTATTTTCTTTTAACCTTTTATTTGCTTTGATTTTATATAAATGTGTACTATGTGCACATAAATAATATTTGCAAACAAACTCCCCTGAGTTTGTAATATGTACCTATATTATGTATTCGATTCAGTGGAAACGAAAAATATCCACTAGCATGCATCAAAGTTAATTTTATTGGTCGCGAATGTGTTCATTTGTATAGTGTAGTCTGGTGTAGAACGAACACTGCAGCTTTAACTCGAATTTTAATGTAATTTACTACCACGGCCGATACACACTTTCTGTCGCGTCACAGAAAACCCGAAACAAAGTTTCCAGCGCCGATAAAGGTTAAATAAATGCAAAAAGCACTGTCTATACATACGTATCTTAAGTTGGGATCAATTTGAATAATGAATCCAAAGTTGTGTGAAACCGAATAAGTGCAAAGCGGTGAACCTGAACTGAGACTGCGACGACTACGACTGCAGTGAGATCGTATATATACGAGATTAAACTGACTATCAAATGTCGAAGTTTTAGTAGCGCAAAGCGCGACGGAAGGCCTTTGGATTTTTAGCTAGTACACCCCGTTTCGGCGAACGCACGTACATATTATCATATTATTTTACGTACCTACAGCCGGCGTTTCACTATATCTATCAGCCACTGAATTATATCGGCGGCCGAGTGAGCGAAAAAAAAATAAAAATAAGAACGAAGGGAAAAAAGCGTATCGTTTCGCTTTTGGCTGAATTTTTACGTCGTCGTCGTCGTCATCGTCCGTCTTACCAAAGGATAGTGGTTTATTATTGCATTATAGTCCTTCGAGCTTACTATAAAAACAAAAACAAAAAAAGGCTTCTGGTTTGCCCCGTAGAACCCTTTATGAGTTCCCGTCCCACCGCCGAGTCAACGGAAAACTAAATTTTCTACACCGTATTCTCCAGGGGCGAAAACCAATGGTTTTCGTGTGACGACAACGGCGGCGTGCCCTCGTCAGTTGTGGGTCGCTGTACCCTATATTATGTATAATATATAATACGCGTATATATATTGTGTACCTGCGGCAGAGGTGGTTGGGAACATTTTATATTTCGTACGAAACATTTTGCACCGCATATTTCTATCTCAGATGATATTATACCGTGAAACCGTACGTACTTTTCATTTTTTTTTCTCCCCACTCTCGAACGCCGTGAATTTTATTTCGGTATTTTACCATTTGAAAGGAACCGAACGACGTATGAAACTCACACCACCACCACCACCACCGATCACACTACCCCTGCACCGTGCACGTTTATATAATATATGTACACATTATTTTTTCTACCTCGACGCCGTCGCGGACGCGTATTACTACAGCAGCCGCCGAGTTTATATTTTCTCCGGCGTGTATGATGTATAAATATTTAAACCAGCGAGCGAATCGTGGACAACATTTACTAGCAAACACTACCGAATGGTGGGACCCACAATATTACAATATTATATTATGTATAGGCATACAATATATAGGTACATATTATTGTATACGTTCTCGCACACCAGGATAGAATTTAAATTAAAAGACCGTGTAAATAAAATTCAATAAATTTAATAAATTGTTTAGGCGTCAAGGGACGTATAATATGTATATTATACTATAATATAGTCATGATATTTACACACCATCTCAACCGAGATGTATAATATGTGGGTGTGGGCACGGTGGTCGACCGTGCGTGATGTGTATACTGTGGTGTGATATGACTATATGAGTATGATATTTGTATGTAGATATGTGTAGGTCATCGGTATATAACTACTCCCTGCTCATACTGTTCTTTATAAATTTATCTACTACTGAATGTATTATTAACTGTAATTTCAAACCCCGCGGATACGTGTCAGGCTATTTCGCAGTGCCGTTAACGATGATACGATTATCGAAGCGACTGCAAAATAGTATGGAAATATCACAGCATCTATTTGGTGCACAGAAAATTGAAAAAATACAGTGATTCTCAATTTTGTGCGCGCAGTGACTGTTTTTTTGTTTTTAAATTATTATTATTTCATAATTTTGTTTGTTTGTTATTTTACCCACCTGTCCACGGAGACTGTTTAATTATTGTTTCCTTGCACGTTTCCCGTTCGATACATATACATACCTATTATATAAATGCATATTCATAAATCAAAATATTGTTTAATAATATTTCATCCAGCTCGGTACGAGAGACGGATATTTCAATTCGATTTCCTTTCCTTACCAGTAGAAATTCAATTTTTCACGTTTTTTTATTCGCGTTTTTTAGCGCTTGCTTTATTAAAAGAAAAACAACCACAAAATAAAATGAAGAAAAATAAAACACATTTTAAGAAAATGTCATTTTTAAATTAAAAAAAAAATATACACATATTTGTAGGTTTAAATATTTGTTACTAATGAACTGTAGACTGTAATTTATAGACCTACAAGGATATTGATAATTATTCATCAAATATCTAATCTATTGATTTAGAAAGAGGAGGGCATGATGGGAGAGGAGACTAAAACTAATGAAAAGCACACAGATCTCGAAAAATTCAAAACTCAATTACTCCCAGCTCAAAAGTACCTACGTCTGCACTCCGCACTGTAGTAATTAAAATAATAATAATGATTTCTCTAAAACTGTCTCACAGACGAGTACAAGTATATCCACTAATTATTTTCCCCTCAAAAATCTAAATAGGCTTTTTTTAATCAACTAAAAGTTTTTCCTGCCTATCATATTGTGCGCTTTCGTCATACACATGTATTATTGCAAATGTTTATTATCATAGTATAACTGTTGATAATATTCGCTATAGCGTAATCAAATTTTCAGTACTTACATAATATATTATTATATTGTAATAATAAACCCGTATGGTCGACATTCCAAGCCAATATAGGGTAATGTAAGCATAATTAGTAATCAGGTATAAACATAGTGATATTTGCTTGTTTGGTCATCTGTAATACTATTTAGTTGCACCGTCGATTATGTTATTATGTTATTATAATGTTATTACTCAATTATGATATTATAACATGTAAGTACATGAAATAAAAACGACGATTTAACTATTATCATTGTTATAACGAGTGTTATTATTACGTTTTTGCCGTCTGGGAACATAAGGATATTAACGACAGCGTCGCGGTCATTGGGAGTTTGGTCGCGTGCGGTCTAATAATAATATAAAGTCGTAATAATAAATTATGTATATAATGTACAAAGAACATCGGTGGCATCGTCTCGCCGGTTAAAAATGTCTTCGGAAACACGCAGTTATTCGGAGACCGCGGCCATCGCGGGCTTTAATAAAAATAATAATATACTATATTATATACTATTATTGCCTGTATACGCCGACGAATTTGTGAAGACAATATAATATATGGTATTGTTGTATCTAAATAATGTACAGCATACGTTTGCACGAAATTTCTGAAACGAAAAGTTAGCACTACGACGATTGAGATGTATGCATATACGAACATTACGAATCGCACAACCTACAAAATTATTAATACGGCGAATATTTGAGGCTGAGCAAAATTATGGTTTTTTTTTTAAACTTGTCTAGCCATAATAATTCAGTTCACCATTCAATATGATAAATAAATTTCAATTTTACCTAACTTGTTTTTTTGCCTTCACTAAGGAGACGGCATATTTTTTATTTGTACATAAAAAGTTGATTTGAATAAAATCTATTAATATTTAATTTACACGTAATATGCATTAAAAAAAGCTGGATTTTGAGCCACTTATTTATCTACATCCAAATATATTACATTGTGTAGGTAATATATTTATAGTTGAAACTTGGAGTTCTCACATAGAGATGCCCACATGGTAGACTGACTTTCCTCAAACTGAGAAATGTTTCTCTCGGCGAAGATCGACACCAGAAAAAGTAACAAGTTGAAACAACTGTAGGTATAACACTCGATCGGGTGTCACCGCGATAGGGAACATAATATTTTAGCATTATTTTACGAATATAATATTATGTAAAATCAGAGTATAGTACTATAGTGCAGAGATTCCGATATCGTTATTCCTCTAACCTCTTACACGAATATTATATATTACATATTATATTATATACACAACCATGTGCATTCCTATGTGTGCAAAATGGCAAGTGAATAGTCAAAAAAAAGATCTGTTATCGAATTATCGATATGCCAAGGGATAACAAGCACTATATTCGAGTTACGATCCTGCAAAGAAATTCCACGCCCGCTACCATGTACGGCTGTCTCACGCGATGTTCACTCGATGACCGTCGTAAATCGATCGTTGTACAGGTACCAAACGATTTCGTTTTTAAATTACCATTTCGTTATTTTGCTGGTTATCCGTACAACGACAATAATAATTCTAAAAATGTAGACGATTATAATAATTATAGTCATTTCATAAACTCCTATACCTAATTCTCTCAACGACCTTTTATTTCTTGACATAACGTTTCGTGGGCATGAATCTACGTTATAGAATGGATTTGTATTACTTATTGGCTATTATACTATGGTATTCATGATTACTTTTAATTCGTATAATGGCTCAATGAGAGTTAGTAATTATTCATTTTGATAGGCATTAGACATTACTTTAATGCAACATTGTATAGTTAAATATTCATAAAGGCAGCTTCTGTATTTCTTATATTTGTGATGTAAGCACACATAATTATATTGTAACCATGCGTACCTTTAATAATAATTAATAACTTTGAACTCACAATAAACGTTAATGAACACTGATATTAATATGTTTATATTATGCGTAAACTGATGTGCGTTAAATTTCAGTCAACCAATTAATATAAATTAGAGTTATAGTTAGTTAAACTATTATTGTCAAGTATCTAAAAATGTAAAATAGTCAATTCAAACAAGATAATTAAAATCCTTATAAAGGTCCACGGAAAAATGTGCGGATTTTCGAATTTCAAAACAGATTATTTGACATTTTCGATTTTAAGAAAAATAAATCTTTGTTTATAGTATTAAGTCTCTACAGTTAAAGTAAAATCATTTTTTGAATTTAATCTTTACCATCCAAATGATTCTACAAATATTCGTTTGGATGGTAGAATAAACAAAATTAAACTAACGAACCTCAGTTCATGTCTGTGAGTTGTGACCCTTACACTAAATGATATTTACATGATAAACACTAAACTACAATAAAAATAATAATAAATGTTTTTAAATGAATTCGAATAAATATTCTAACAAGACATCTTAAAAGTAAATTATTTATATTTCAAACGTAATTGCTTACAAAATCGTTTGTTGATTTAAAATAGGTACCAATGTAATATTTGTATTTTATCAATATAATAATATTATTTATTAGTTTTAATCAGAAATATTAGGTATAGGTACCAATGGCTATATTTTAAATAAAAATAAATTTGAACCTCGAATTATTTCGATAATTTTAAGTAATGTTTTTTTCTATCTAAAAGTGTCATATTGTAAATATATATAACTATAGCATATGATATAATTTTATTTGTTTGTTTTAAATATCTCTTAGTACTTACGTTGCAAGATGAAACTTTTCCTTTGTGATTTTTGATAAGAAAAAATATTTTAGCATTACCGACTAAACTTGAGTAATTCGCTTATGATATTTAATAATTATTATCAATTACCATTTACCATTAGATATCTAGTATGACAAAATATTATAAGTTCATATATTTTATGATTGGAAAATTAAGAGGAATACTTAAACATTGAGGTTATGTCCATTTGTACATAATATATAATTTACATCAGTACCAGAGTGACGCAATAAATGTCAAAATTAAAAAAGACTTTCAACAAATATCATAATTTATAAGAAAATAGTAAAACAAGTCGTGTCTTGCGTCGGATATGCGGTGTAATTTTACCAAGGCGGAGACCGAGCGGTTCGAACGTCATGAATCAACTGCGAAGGCGTCTCAACTGTACTGTCGGTGTACAGACATTGACTACTAACGTGCCCTTTCGATTGGTCGGTTAGCTGCCAGTTGAATAAACTCCATCGTTTATCACTGGCTGATCGCGCGTACATCTTTAGACCACTCAATTTAACACCTATCACATACACTGCGGCCCACCGACCGTGATCGGACGTGCAAGCGTTACAAACCAGGTAATATAATAATTAAAACCAAAATATGGTATCGTCGAATTACTGAATTGGTACTAATATAAATATGCGACGCATAAACAAGACGATAAAACGGTGTCGGTTTATATATGTGCATACTGCATACAAGGGTGAAGCGCAGTTGCACGAAATTTGAAAACAAAAGGCAAGGTTCGAATTATCCTCATTATCTGACAATTACATTAAACCTAATCAACTACTGACAATGATATCGGTCGACGGTCAGAAAAATAACTTGTATTTTCAATATTTATTGTTTTTGGTTTTCATTATAATAGTATAACATTGTCATACAGCTACAATTTATAAATAATACTTAATATAAAAATATGCGTAACTTAAATTATACAATATATACAATAAATAGTGACAATTTTAAAATAATAAAATATAAATATGTAGGCACCTATTTACAGAGGTTTATTTCTACAAATTAGTTACCGGAGTCATAGGATCGAGTGCAATTCGAACGTTTTGGTTAAGGTAAGGAGTGCACTGCAGTTCGATAATCCCCGTAAATACATTATGCATAATACTGCGTAGTTCTGATTATAACATTTTTAAGAAAGTTGATGTTGTATGATAGGTTCGCTCGAAAATTACTCATCTCTATGAAAGTCAATAGATCATTACCTTTTTCTTCAATTAGAACACCATAGAGTGAATTCGTGCGACAACTAATATAAGGTAGCGTTGATATAACATTATTTATTGATGTAACAACTTAATAAGCCATTATAATTACTGTTATTAACACCATCACATTATAATTATTATTATTAATTATATAAAAATATTTTTTTTTGTTACTGTTAGTAAACAGCGTGTTGTTTGCTTATGAGTTATGACTGTTCATTTGTTTTTCATGACAAGAAGGCGTGCATAGGCAAGTTTTGTGTTTCTCCTCGCCCAAAGCTTTCAAATCAAAACTGACAGATTAATTAATCCAAACACAGTGACCATCCCCGCATTTCAGCGTATTACACACCGTAACATAACTTTTTATTAATATAGAAAAGAGAAAACCATCAACATTCTACCAACCACATTATATTATTACTTACTGCATACAAAATATTACTAGGAATATAATATTGATTATTATTATATATATTTAGTATGTATTACTATTTAAATATGAAGCAGAAAGTAAAAATTAGTTGGTATCAATGTTTTAGATGGTAGATGAGATTCCAATCGAAATGTTTAATGAATCGGTCTTCTAGTAAAGTGTTTGAGCTATGATGACATTTTCATTTTTAAATTTTTTTCCAATTTTGTACTTGTATTATGATGATAATATAGATTTTAGATTAAGGCTTCGAAAAAAATTTCAGTATAAATGAAAAGAAAAACCGAAAATTATATACTTAAATTTTCTTTATACGTTGTTCATACAGATATTTAAATACATTAAAAATACAAAAAACTACAACCTTTTATGTATAAATTAAATTATACACATAATCCTGGAAACTTCAATCATTTGGTTATTACTAAATATATTATGTTTTATAAATAATTCAACTAAAAAAAATATTTAGACTAATCGTATGCTAATAAAATTATGGTCCTGTGACCTGTTTATACTGTTCTAACTCTATATTATGTTTAGTTGACTTATAATAACAACAACGTATGAATTATAATATTTATATTTATTAGTTATTAATAACATAGTATATTCCTTTTCTTGTAAACATTATTTTACCTAACTTATCACGTTCCTAATAGCAAATTAAATAACTAATAATCTTATAAAATAATATAGAAAATAAAAAAAATCATAATTATTTTTGCTTACCAAAATACATTGGCCAGTGTTTCGTGGGTCAAACATTTAAAATCATAAAATAACAAGAATAGATACCCAATCATTCCAAAAGTTGCTCGTGTTTATTAATTCTTTTTGCAACAACATATCTTTGTGTTCTGCATTTTCACAACTATTCAAATTATAAATAACAAATAATTCAATGATCATGAAAAATGCAAGACACAGGCTTTAGAAATAATTTTGCGCAATGCTATTATAAATATCGCATCGGAAATGATTTATTATTCAAAAATATAAAACCCTACTCATCACATTAAATTGAGGATGCCCCATTAGAATTACGTTTGAGATGTGAAGGTATTGAGGGCCTACAGGATGGTCGTTGTTTGAACTGTTATTATGATAACAATAAAATAATAAAATCTTAGAAACGTACTTAATATAAAAAATAGGTACCTAGCATCAAAATATCTTACTCAAAAACGATACCACAAAACGCCCATACATAAAAAAATTAAATCAAACAATTTTTTATTTTAAAACTGACTAGAGACAGAAATGAGTATTTAAAATTGAAATTCCAACTAATTAAATACAAATTGCAAATTTCAAAATCAAATTCATCATACCTCATAAAATAATATTACTTAAAATAAAAAAAATTATTAACTTATTGTTTAAATAGATAATTTAAATACCATTCAAATAGATACATTTTCCACTTTTTGACAGTTGTAAGTCCTGCGTTTTAGTTGCAAGCATAATATATATAATATAGAATACGTAACAATATTCATTATACGGTCGTCGGGTACAATATAATATGGATTACAATAATCCAACCGAAATGGTAAAACAATTTTTTTTACAAAGGTTTCCGCGTTTTTGTTTCATTGAATTTGTTTGTAAAAATATGTATATAATATACTTATATAATATATACCTCAATACTATATATTTTCTAATTGATAATAAGCAAAAAAAAAATAGAAATAATCGTATTACATGATTTGCGTTTCTGTCTATTGTATTATAATATAATGGTAGGTACTATTGAAAAAATATTTTAATACAAGCACAATTATTACAGTAACTTATGTTTACGTTGTCACGTACAGGTCAAATCCTAAAATAGTCCCGAACCTCCGAAAAAACTGAAAAAACATCTAAAATCCTCGGGTGGTTATACAATTATACAATTTAAATAAATAAATTATTAAAATATTCAAGGGATTAGCCCCAGCCCCCCTAAAATTGGTAGTATTTATACTTTTGTACATGATAAAATATAAAATCTTTTGCAGCACATAGTATATATATTTTCATCTGGTTGGATTATTTATAGGTTTAACGGGAAAGGAAAATAAAACTTTTTTAATTTTGTATACCAGCCTATTAGTGTGCTTGGGTTTTAGAGCATACATCTGTATTTAATCAATTGAAAGTCATAGAAATAATCTTGTATATTAGAGTACTCAATTTTGAAAAAATGCACTTTACAACGCAGCATACGCGATACGCTGATGATGGTAATCACTAATTCGTGTCACCTGCCACGAGCTTCACACGGAACTAAAAAGTTAAATTTTGGCACAGAGTAAGACGTGTAATCCGTGACGAATGCATTACCATGATCATAATAATACAGTACCTATTATACTAAGACAAATACTGTTACTCAAACGTTGACGCTGTGGTCGTCTTCGTTGCCGTATATAACAATATCGCACAGTATACAATTAATTAATATGACGTCAAATAAACACATATTATAAATCATACAGGGAGTCCCGTCATATTTTATAATTTTCACGTGTCGTAGTTGGACGAGAAAACACCGTAGGTCACTCTGTCTAATAATAATAATAATAATATATATAATAATAATTCATGCATCGTGGTGAGTGCTAGACCCGGTGGCGATAGAGTTTCAGTCCCGTGGGAGTGAGACACCGTGGAAGTCGGGGGCACCATCTCCGTTGTGCTTGGAAAATATATAATAATAATTAATATTATATTATAATATGTACACGATAAAACGGTTTAGTCCGAGGCTCGTATGACAACCGCGCCGACCGTATATCCTCGGACCCAACTCCGTGTACCTGTATCATTTCGGTTGATGCCATGTACCGCGAAGTGACACATTTTTAGCAGCGTATCGAATTATTCGACAACCACGCAGCATCATGGCGATATTTTATTATTATTTTCCGTATTACACGATTTACGACTGCGATTCCGATTCGTCAGATGGACATTGGCCGACGGTCGTTGGAGCACGTGACATTCCGGGACGGCGTCACGTCCGAATTAATACCACACCATACGTATCTCCGCGGTCGTTCACGGTAATCTAATTATTAATGTTAACAAAAAAAAAAAAGTCGGGAATCGGAATCGCCGACCCTTTTATTTTTATTTTTAATTACCGAAGCACCCTCATTCAACCATTATACCTACCTACAATCAATATTTAAATTAATTTTTGTCACGATTTTTTTGATCCAATCCGTTGTTGGTTTCTGACTTATGCACTCTAAAAATACAAGCTGCTTGTTCCTACACATATAAAATAGAACGATTCATCAAGCATGACCATATCATTTTTTTCAATATTTCAACCATTTAAAATATGATTTTTTGGAGTTTTTAAATATGCTTCAGGATCCTTTTTAAAATTCTGTTGATTTTTTTGTACTACATATGGAGTGTCCGTTTTTTTTTTTAGATATAAAATTCTATTTTTCAAATGAGTACCCTTCTTTTCTATTGTAAATTAGTTTGCAGATCATTTTCAGAAAATGTTGTCAGATCAAAATCAAAATTCAAAAAGTAGTTTTTGAGTTACCTATTTAACTTTAAGAATACTAATATAGAATAAAAGTTTCATGATATAATGGATTTGGAAAATATGGAGTTAAAGGGATTTGAAAATGTTAATAGTTATTAACATCAGTCTATCAATAATTATAATTT